ACGTTACAGTGAGAATTGCATTTGCGTAAAGTTTGGTCCGGACCGGTTCACAAACGAAATTTATGTTAGGAATACATCGAAGCACAGATACGCACTTATATTAACATTTTCGATTATTTGTGAAGAGGTAATTGGCTCAGTGTTTGGTATGAAATGGATGTACAGTTAATGGATTTTTGGATTATCAGCGCCGTACTTAATCATATTTCTATTGATTGTGTTTCTTCCTAATCATCAAAAAAATTATACATTTGTATTTCTACAAGAAGCAGCATAGATACAGTGAAACAGCGCGGAAATATGGTGAATAGTGAGCGGTAGAAGAGTGGAAATAAGACCAGCAGAGGTTGAATTCTTGACGAACTGAATGAATTGCGAACAAGCTTGATGCCAGAAGATCAGTGGATGTTTATCGGCGGTCTATAGGAATCGGTTCCTTTTTGGCCATGTTCGTTTTGACGTCCGTTCGCCAGTTTGTGATTGGAGACTGAATCGTAGTGTCTGAGCAGGCTTAGAACGTCGTAAAATGCTTACCGCATAGCTAAGGACCAGCGCGCTATAACCTCCTAATACATGAGCAGGCTTGTCTTGAAGGTTTAAGTTCCCGCGCATGGTTTGCTAGTACCATCTTATCTGTCGCAACGCACCGAAGAAAAGAGAGTGAAGACAAACAACATTCACTTTACTTTTAATTCTTAGGTGACGTAAGCATCTCTGCAAATCTCGCATCGGGAAAAGTACTGAAACAATGATTCTTACAGAGATAGATTTATTAGTCAGTAGAAGTTTTCTCATTTATGGAGAACAGCGAGCACCGTGTATGACGGTGTGTCTTATCTCTAGCATGTCGATTATCTTGCTTACGGAATATTTATTTACATAATCTATCAATACTTTTACTGTGACGCTGTTTCTGTCTTTCTCTTTATTCCTTGACGAGCTATTCTTCTTAACCATTTTCATGTCCATTCAAGCCTTTGCTTACTTTCGATGGCTTCTAAAGCGTTAGCCAAGTTGACCCAAAACTGCTAAGCAACTGTTTTTTATAACAAAAGTTATGCAACGGTAGTTTTGGAGCTGCGTCGTACTATGGAATGCTAGAATATAAGTCGCAACGATGGTGGCTTTCTATAGCTAGGCAGCTATGTAAGAAAGCGTGACGAAAGGTTATCACTAGGTTAACTCGGTCGCGTAGCTCCTACTTAACGCGCTCCCTTGATCCAGAACGTAATTTTAGAAAGGCGTATCGTCTTACGAAATTGATCCTCATAAGGATAGAGGGGAAATCAAGTATGCGAAACTCGAATTTTGGTATGTAGGTGGCTATGGCACATATGCTGAAGAGGGTAAGATATTTGCGGCTGCAGCCATTTGGTAAGAACTTTCTCGGATAGGCTTTTCAAAATTGAACTATTCAGATTCGACTACAATAGACTATGAAGATATTGTTATTGACACAGTTGACTACGAGCAATCAAGCAACACAGTTATCATTAGATGGAACGCTAGAGGAATATGGGCACAAGAAAAGCCAGTATATGTTGTGAGGTGATACTATAAGAATTTTGCGTTTCTATTGAAAAATTTTCTAGAACACAATACTTAACACCTAATATTCAGATATTGATCCTGATTATACCATTAATAAGTATATTCAACAAAAATGCCTTGACACTTCATCTCCATTTTGCAAACAGTATGAAACACCCCTCTTTCATATGATATACTTTGCATCTGATAGGCTGGTCGAAATTCGTTGAAAATTTCAATAAATTACTTATGAGATTTGCACGCGCTGACGTCAAGCGTATAATTGCAAATCATGCGTCTCTACTTCATTGAGCCCATTCGTTCAGAAGTGGCGGAGGGATATCCAGAACAATCACTTCATGAACGAATCACGGTTGACTTTCAATTCCAAGTTTTTCATAAATCGTTTTTTTCAGTAACATTAGACGCCTTAAGACTGTTAAAACAGCGACGAAAATTTGTTAGATTTTCGAAAATATTGACATTTTTGTGTCAGCCTTATCGGTCTCCAGTTTATCGCAGTCCAACCCTACTCAAATGCGTTCTTTTACCCGAAAACAGAGAAAAGCACAGTAACTTATTTATTTGATTCAGACGGTGGACCCCTACACACAAAAGAAACGGAATTTTTGCTGCCGACAACAGCTAATTCATCCAATGTCTCTGCGAAAAAGCCAGAACTCAATATATGTTAAACTATGTTTACGGCTTCGCTTCGCTTTTTTCTACATGAACTACCAATAACTCTCGTTAGTTATCGGGAATCAACAGCTATGAAAGAAAATGCGTAGAAAACAAAGAACTTATTCTCAAAACATTGTAACAATATATTGCCCAAAAAGGTAATGAAAACTTATCTGCCCTTAATATAAGCTAACAAGCTTATAAGAGCAAATCAGCCCTGACTGCGCAAGCTGACGGCAAGGCAATCGTGCTAAAAGTTAAAAAAAAACTCAAAATAGGAATAGGTTGATTTATAATTTAAGGCATGTATGAAACGTACTCGTTTTGTGGGATGGTCTTTCGCTGGTGATTTAGTCCATATAAGCACATTTACAAACTTTTTTTTGCTCTGCTTTTGATTACCAGCGGATTGATTAGTATAATCCTTGTAAGGACCTTTCATAAAACACGTACTTAATCAATTATTGGCAGCATTTATAGCTGGCGGAAACAATGACCTCCTTTTTTTAACGCTTCCCAATTTGGTAAGATAAACATATTTGCGAGACAAATTTAACACTTTCATTTGCATCTGAATATAGCGCGATGCATGATTTTATGGCTATGGTTCAAAAGAAAGAGTAGTATTGTAGTATCACATGCACAACAGAATTCAATATCCCTAAACAATGTATAAGTTCATTCTTTGCATCAAATTGTAAGGGTATTCTAGTTCTATTCACATTAACTACCAAGACCTTATCAAATGATTTTGCAACAAATAATCTAAGTTAAAGTTGATTTTCATTCACCATGTCCGCATATATGTATAACTGAGCTCATTGAGTTTACTTCGTGTAAATTAACAACAGATTTTAAAGATAATTGGTCTGGAAACTCGGCTGCTTCGGCTGCTTTAGCCAATAGTTTTCCACGTTCTCAATCACAACTCTTTCTAAAATGGCAATTAGCTTTTGAAGCTCCCAGTGTAAAGTTTTTTTT